AAAAGAAAAGAAAGAAAATGGACAGAGAGATGTGGAACTGATTTTTTAGTACACATGACTTTCCAAAAATGGAATTCAATGACATAAATGACCAGATTTCCAGCTAATTGTTAAAATTTCCAAAACATAAACATCAATCAAGCTCATATTCCAACCACAAATTATTTACATGAGGAATGAGATCCTCTGCAAGAAGACTTAAATCAAGAGCTTATGAGAGACTTTCCCATAGTTTGGAATGGTGCACAAAAAAGACAAGAAGCACTTATGAAGATAATAAAAACCATATTTTCCATGCCAAAAAAAAATTTTAGTAATATGGCTATTGTTTAGTCAGTGGTGATGAGCCCGTGAAAACAATCTTCTTGCTAAGGCTAAACTACAGGGAATGACCAGAGGATATAAATCTTACATATTAGTGTTGTTAAGGTAAGGAGTCCTTCAGCTTAAAAATCACAAAAATTGTTCATTAAAACAGAAACAGAAAAGATCTTAACTTGGACATCTAGCAAACTCAAAACCAAGATTAACACAACTGAGTGAAGTCTCTAAAATACTAAATAGAAAAGCAATTGCAAAAAGCCATAATTAGGACAACACAGAATATTAAATAACTAACTGCAGCACCTAGAAGTCAAGGTAGATGCTGCCTGGAATGAAACGGATTGAAATCAGACAACATTAAGAGTAATGTGAAGTGACAAGGCCGATTATTCAGAAAAGGATATTGGAAAAGGCTTTACATGTCAGACATAATAATAAAGGTTTGTTAATGGTGAAAATGCAACAATATCATTATGCAGAACAGCAGTTTGTAAACTACTGAATTTACTTGACATTCATGGCAAAGCATGAAAGCTTAGTATAGTAAATTAGTGCTGGCAATTAGTCCAGTTCCTACCAAACCAAAGGAAAAAGACGAACAAGGAAAATAAAAAGCACATATATATGAGAATAATCTGTACTTGTCTGTAAGTGCTTAAATAAGATAAAAACAAAAGAGACTTTTGATATAAAAATTGTATTGGAGTTTGCTATTTTAATGTGAAATAAACTTGTGAAATAGTAAGAAAGTTGTTGGAGTGGGACAGAAGAATACACATTTAGAAAACACAGAAATTTGCATTGTTTTCAGCTCTCACATTCGAACAAAAAATTTTGGTGGCTTTAACAATAAAGAAAAAAACGTGCTGAAAGAGAGCAATGTGCAGGGACGTGGAGAGTTGTAAGAGCAGTTATAAATATGGATCTGCAAAGTGAAACTGAAATAAAAGGCTACGACTAAATAAATTATATGAACTCTCACGTGATAATTAGGCTCAAACCCAAGAAAACAGAATAGAAAGACTTAGAAGGAAAAGAAGTGTTCAATAATCTCAAAAAACCTAATTCATATTTGGAAGGAAGGAGAGAAGATAAGTTGGCAAAACAAAAGAATTGAGGTTTTTTTATCACTGGACAGTGACATGCAAGTCTATAACACAAAGTGTTAAGATATGGAGATGAACAGCTGATGTTTTGATGATCTTTTATAATTTACTGCATTTATATATACTGGCAGTGATAATATCCTACATGTCATACTGAATATTAAGGCTCAAAAATAATAAAAGCTAGATATAAGCAGTCCTGAACAAATTAAATATATATGGCTTTTTATGTATTTATGTGGTTTTCATATTTCATATGCAAGTTCTGCTTCATTCTATCCTATAATAAATGAAACACCATTAGTGAGACACAGAAAACAAACAAACAAAAATTTCTCAGAGCAACAAATATAAAATATTCACTACCTTGTTTGTAAGAGTCAAGTTCAAAAGTGTGCCAGTTCCACATAATGAAATACAGAGATCTGAAGGATCTTCTTCCCAAGTCAACCTATCACAGTAATACTGAATGAGACTACCTTGCAAACCTGGTTGGGGGCAAGTGTTCCCAGTATTTTTAAATATATCTTTGTCCTTCTTTGCCCTCTAATACATTTTTGTGGCTATTGCAACACCGCTTGAAATTATGTTAAAAATACAGTTGTTGTGTTCTCATTGTAAAAGTATAAGAAAAGCCACATAGGTTCTGTATTACTGAATCATCCTCAAGCAGAGGCCGCGTCAGAACTGAGCACTGAGAGCACACACATGCAATGTTTCTGCAGCTGGAGCCCTACCTAACAGCATGCAGTTCAGTAAGCCACAATCTAGCCTAAACCTCTCATGCAGTGAGTGGATTAAGAGCAATACTTAATATCATCAGTGATCAGTACCACAGAGGCTTTACATTCTAGAATTACAAGTTATAAATGTTACTGTGGTATTCACAGCATTACGGTTCGCTCATGTTGAGAATATCATGCATATCATAGCAATGCTGATTATCTGCAAATGGCAAAGGAACAGGTTTATAATCACAGAATGAACAGACATGTGTTGGCAGGAATGCTCTGGCTAACACTGAAAGCATGACATTGAACAGCTTTAGGAAAAATAAAACGGGTCTGAAAGGGTTAACATTTGAAATGTATTAAGAAATGGCTAACCTATGTGTTTTTGACAAATTCATACACTTCTGAGAATCCTGGTTTCCTGAGGCAAATCCTGCAGGTATTAGCACTCTTCAGTTGGAGATTTCAAACTCTGTTTTGTAAGATTTCCATTCAGATAAATTCAACAGACACAAAATATCAACACTGCTGCAGACCTTCTGATGTGTGCCTGCTCCACTTATCTAGAGCCACAGCTGCACTCAGTATGGTTATAGATCTTGTTTATAACCCATGATGCTGAAGAACCCTCATCTTTAATTTATCCCACTGTGTGTATTTCAGTATACAGTGTCTGATATGGGTAATTATTCACTATTAGGATGAAAGTTGCAGTCCTGCTGCAGTATGTAGTACTGAAATACTTCAGCAGAAATGGAGGAGTTGGATGATGCATTATTCACTTCATAGACCATCACAGTTAATCAAGTGAATATATATAAAGTCTGAGTCATTTTTAGACTTTCATAAACATGTATTATTCAGACTGAAAAGAACAGACCCTCTTACCTTCAGCACATTCTTGGAGAATAATGGGAGCTTGTAACCTGTTGTAGCTGGCTAATGTGTATATTGGATTACATTGCATTAAAATGAATAATCAAGTATTTAATTTAATTTTTAATTAAAAATATCAACAGAAATATATTGATCAGATACTGCAAACTTCCAGGCACAACATGATTTACAGGGATATCAAATTAAAAGAAGCACAAAAAAATTTTTGGCAGGAAATAAAGGTCTACTGGTTCAAAATGACAACCACAATTCTCTTCAATTACTTTTCAACTCCAACCATCCAAACCAACTAACCAAAATTCTGATGTATTTTTCAACAAGACCTATTTATGAAGACTGTGGCATAATGTTTGTAACATGAAGCTATCACTTCAGTGATGATATTTGAATCATAAAGAAAAACAAACAAAGGCACAAATAATGTAGATATATGGCCCCCTTTTTTTTCCCCCTTTCCCTTGCTAGTGAAGATGACAAGATGGATTTAAAGGGTGGATTACCTTGTTGGAAAACAAACAAACAAACAAACAAACAACAAAAAAAGTACAAAGGTAAATCACTGACATTTAAAATCTCTGTAGCAAACTCCTCGGTATTTACATGCTGTGGTACTTTAATTAAAATATTGGAGGAATTTTTCAGTCCCTTTTTCCCCACTTCAAAACTAAAATAAAAAGCCCTAAAGCATCTCAAGGCTCACAGATACTGCTTTAGTTTTGTTATAGCTCTGAATGTTAAGGGTTTTCATTTTGTTAACTAGATTACTACCAGATTTGAGGAAATATGAGGATTAGCTCTCCATAGACTCCAAAGTAAGTATTTTCTCCCTGTCATGTCAGACATAAAAGCACTCCTTACCAATATTTACAACTGACATGGATGCTACATCACTGAAGCAATTCAGGTTTTATGTTTGTGAGTCTCAGAAGTATTTTTTCAACCAAATAACCAAAATGGATATGTTAAAATTGAATGGACTCACTCCAACCAGTTCATTTGTACCCACAGTACTGCAGAGTTGACTGATGTGTCCAATGCCAAAGGCTGCGCTGTATAATTATCTTTTAAGCCAGAAGACTTTGCTGTTTCCAAGAATTCATCTTGACAAATACACAAACAAACGCTAATATAGGGATCTAATGGTATGCTTAATCTTCATTTTATCTTATGTACCTGTTGTTGTGGTGATGACTAGTTTTCTTGGATTGTAATGTCATTGTGGACACACACATTTAGAGAGCTAGGGAATTACAGCTTGGAAATTCTTTTCAGGCCTGGATTTCTCCTGTCTCTCAGGTCCATTCCCAGGCTGACAAGCTGACTACAGCTTCAGTTAGGGAGGAAATCTCCCAGGGTGATAATATGGTGAAAAACAGAGTGGAATTCATAATAAAGATTAACACCTGGTGTCTTTCCCGTGGGATACATCCTGAGGTACTGTCCCGAGGATGTTTTTCCCAATTGTCCAATGAACTACTGTCCTGTCCTAGCTGCACATAACACACTTTAAATACGGGTTGTCTGTACAATAAAGTTGGCCTTTTTTCCCCAAAGAGGTCCGTGCGTGTTGCTGTCCTTTCTCTCTCTTTGCAGCGCAGTAACCACATATTATCTACAAAGTTTTGATGAATGTCATGAGTTCCAGTTTCCTCGGGGAAATACAAACACTCAAGTTTCATTTTTTTTACCTACTAACTACACAAGCCCCTTGGCCTGTCTCTTTTTGCATCACAGCTTTACCAGAGATATGAGCCACTACTTCTGATCTACTCACAAGTGTTCTTCCTGAAGTTGCAGATGTTTCAGATGCTGTATTTATGAGTCTTTGCATTACATTTAGCACTGTTCATACTAGCCATTACAATTACTTTCTGAGAAAGGCTCCTCTAGGGAGTAGACTTATTAGTAAACTATGGAAGCATTTCCATAACCCTCTCTTCCACTGATGGGAGCACATTTATAGAGCTATTGACTCAGGTAATTTGACACACTCATCCACAAAAAAGATTTGTTTGTTATCAAGAGGTACTAAATATTACAGTAATAACTCTAGAAATTTACCAAGAAAATGATGGAGATGGGATTACATTTGTTTTGCTGTTTTTCTATTTGCAATTAAATAAATTTTTGACTTAGTAAGTTATTCTTAAAGGCAAAAGGAAAACCCAGTTAAAATACAGTTGCAAAATAACACACATATGCAATTCTACTAATGAGCACAGCTTATGATGATTTTGAGGTTTTTTGGATACAGATAATTTTTTTTTAGACAATATGAGACAAACCAGCATAGTCTCCTATTGTCTTCAAAAGAGCAAGAGCAATAAAAAGGTATCACCAAGATGTTTCTTTACCATATCTGCCACAAAAGTGAGGAGATGGGGCAGAAAAAGGCCAAAATACTAGTAACTTACAGAAAGCCCCCAAAGTAAAAGCTTGTTTTTATAGAGCAGAGTCCTCTTAGAGTAGTTGTGCGAGGTACCATGTGAGAGTGACTGTGAAGGTCTGCAGGGGTGAGAGCCCAGCTGTTTGGTCTGGACCTTGTAAGGCAGCCTCAGCTCTTCCAGCTCAAGCTCTGCAGCTTGAGTCAACGCCTGCACAGCTCCACAGAACTACACAACAAACAGTCCTCAGACATATCTGCACAAAGCTGCAGTGATGGACACAGACCTAGGATGACCGTGCATGCATGACTCTCAGCACCCCAATCTTGTTCCTTTCTTACACAGAAACTAAGTACACCTAAGAAGTGCCTATATGTTTCTAACTCCGTTTCCTTAGACAGACAACTTCCAAGTTAGGTCATTTGATTTAAGAAGGTGAAAGCCCTCTTTTTATTTTTTTTTTAAAGCCCTCAATTGCAAACAATGCAGGAGCACCTAGAGATTTTTTTAAACAATCAGGCAAGAGAAGAGTCAGAAGGGACAGAGAATCAGTGTACATCTCACTGCTCTGCCACCCCTACACACCAGTCTGTCCTCCCAGACTCTTCTGAATGGTAAACAAATTACCAAAATTATCATCACCCAAAAAGCCTCAAGCCATGCTACCCAGAAACGCCATTGTTTGGGCATGAGAGTTATAGTGAATTCAGTAGTCAGCAGAGAGGAATCATCACTATAACAGAAGAATCAGAATAATAAATGCAAACGTCATCTATCACTTAGCTGAGCTTAAAGAGAATGTACATGTACATGATTTTCAATGAGGATACTGTACCTAATGAAACTGGATCTGGATTCACTGGACTCTGCTGTCTGGAATGACTACTGCTGCTGTTTCCACCTTTTTTTAAATCCTCCGCATCACTGTACCGCCGTATCCAGTAATTCAGCTCCTCACGGTCTGCTTCTTGACATCGCCGTAGGACAGTGAGAGATCGCCTGGTTTTTTCCACCATGTCCATTATACAGTTCAACAACTATTCAAAGCAGTGGATGGAGCAAAGAAACAAAGAATTTTTTATTCACAGAGTGACACAATAATAAAGAAAACGTTAATGTACTGAATGCATGGGTTTTAATAACAAATGAGTCCCTCTCTGATAATCTCAACTACAGCTGAAAAATTCTAGACTTGTTTTAAGAATGGCAGTAACTTTCTTTTTAACTGCTGATCCTAAACTATACAGATACGGACTTACAGGAGAAAGAGCAAAGACAAGGACAAAACATAATGAACAGGCTGTAGCCTTACCACTAGTATTACATGGCACCACAGAGGACTCAAGATGTGGTCCAAAACTGATGCCTACAAATTTTACAAGAGCTAATAAATTCAGGAACAAATCCATGCCCCAGATCCAGCGTTTATAGAGAAAGTCCATTCCTCTTTTGGCAGACTGTAATAATTAAGATAATGCAGGAGACACTTATCAGCAAGGCCTGGTATGAACTATCTAATGGGGACCATCAAGCCCTCTGATTTAATCAGCAAAGCTTTCAAAACTTGTCCTAGAATTCAGATAGGTTTTAAAATAAAAAATTTAAATTCCTATCTTAGACGCCTCTGTTCAGAAAATTATACATAAATTAATATTTAGCCCTTACATGGTCAAGATGTTTCCACTCTTCTGCCCATTCTCTGTCTGTTAGCCTGTGATCAATCATTTCTTCTTGACGTGTGCCATGCAACCCTGTCAAAGAGACGCAAATTACATTTACAATGTTGGAAGTCCTCTATGGGGGAAAAAAAAAGGCAGAAGAAAAAAGAGCCTATAGACAAAACCATCATATATTACCTGTTCTAGCACCAGGAATGCCACCACAAAGAAAAAAAAATAAAAGGCTTCTTAAAACTTTGCTCTAAGCTCTCTTTAGTACTTTTCCCCACACAAGATGCTACTGTTTTCTTCAATTTAATGTCTTTAATTCTGTAAGTTCTGTAGGTTGCAAGATGACCTTTCAAAAATGAACATAGCTCATTCTGACTAAGTAAAATCATTATATACATAAATATAACATAATACAATATATAATTTTTCATTTGCACTACTTAAAGCCAGCAAGGCAATGATTTGGTAACTCAGTGCATATAATACTAGCTGTACTTCAGAGATTTGAAAAAATATTAGTATAAACTCAGTGTTATTTCACTAAATACAGTAATTACTACCATGTCAATAGAGCATCATTAAGGGTTTGTCCCTTCACAGATGTTTAAACAACATGTGGTTAAAACGTAGCATATATATCAGAGCAGCTGATGACATGATACAACCAAGCAGTATTTATTATCAACACTCAAGGGGAACCAACACTTGTTCTTTCTTTAGCCTCCTCTGTACAGATGCTGAATATTTGTACGTGTTCCTCTTTTACTGAATATTTGTTTAAAACAAGGAAGAACAGTAAGTGCAGATATGAAGCAAAATCCAAGAGCATCAGGCATCCCATTAAACCAAATCGTGCTGCACAGGATGTGGCTGGTGCTTCTGCTGTTCACATCCTCTACAGATATCCCCATGCTCTGGAGATGTGACACAAAACACTTCTCTGAAAGATAATAACTTTCTTCTGCTCTAAGCTGAAATCAAGCTATATTGATGTTGCTGTCATCACAAATCTAGCATTAGAATAAAAATAAAAGGCTCTACCTATCCTTGCCTGCCGTACACCTGAGCTTCCATTTCACCCCATGCACCTTTGAAAACACAGGTTCCTCCTGCTTCTGATCCTCTTACTTAGAGACACAATTCAATCCACTTTTACAAATACAGATCTGAAATACGGCCATTAGAGGCAGTTGGATGGACAAACAGCCATAGGGCTGCTTATAGCCAAGGGCTGTATCTAAACGGCAGGTTAAAAGGTTCTGTTCACAAAACAGAGTTACAAGAGAAATAGAAACCTAAAAAAAAACAATGCAGAAAATCAACGTGCCTTACCCATAGGTCTATTTCTGTCCCTGAGGTCCCTGTGATTGGGGTGTCTGTATGAGTCCCTGTAGTGGTGGGCAATGGCCATATCATCCAAACGGTAATGCTGAGGTGGAGGTGGGGTGGGATGAGGCAGACCATTGGGCTGATAAGATAAGCCATTATTTGGACTGTACCGCTGGCCTGGGCTAATAGTGCAGGGCCGCTTGCTTGGATGCTCTGAGTGCAAAGGCTCTCTGTCAAAGCCATTTTCTTTGGTTCTGAAAAACAAAGCAAAGGAACTTTAGTTCACTTAATAAACAGAGCTTGGGAACATGCACCCCCCACCTACACATGTAGCTTCAGGAACTAAAGTTTGTTCTCTCACTTTCCTCCAAATGTGTAATGCTGCAGAACATTTCATAACACTGCTGATTCGAAACATACAAGGCTCATTCACCTTGATTAACCACCCCTGTAACTTGACAAATACTAGCAGGGTGAGCCTTCTGACGGAGCCACTTAAGGAGAGGCTGGAGAGCAGGCAGCCTTTGCTGAGATCACACTGATGGGGTGGATACACATGCAATTGCAGGGGTAAAACCATCAACTGATACATGAAGCTAGGGACCAAAAAATTTCTGTTTTCAATAGTGCTACAGCTTATAGTGATTAGGAGAAATCTGCAGTTCAAGAAATGTTTTTTTTTTTTTCAAGAGGATACCAGAAAGTCCAGCAGTGCATGTCAGTGTGCTGAAGCTCAGCATACCAGGAGCTCACATCAAAATCAGTGTAACACAGAGACTTTGGGGAAGAATCGACTCTAAATGATGAGAAATGCATGCTTCAGAGATTTTTGCACCATCTGGGCTATTCCAGTCAAAGGTGCTGTGACTGTCATTAATTTTGCAGGAAGATGTGGTTAGACTCAAGTCCTCAGTAATGTTCAGGATTTCCCACTCCATTACTCTTAGACGGGGTTTTATGCTCAGGCAACTTGGAAGAGCTACTGAGAAGAAGGACAGGGGTTTTTATGTTCTACTTACTCTTTAATTCAATTCAATTCATAATCGGCTATTTCCAAAGAAATCTCTTCTTGACACCTCTGCCTGAGAACCTTGAACTCACCCTGAACTAATTCTCCATTAAAATAAATTTTGTAAAAATGCACAAAATAAATAAACAAGCCCCAGATAACAAAACCCCTCATTTCATTTCACTGAAATATGTTTGGCTTTTTTAACCACGTGAATAAAGAAAACCTACAAAATATTAGCTTTGATCAGAAAGTTTATTAGATATAAATATTGCAAATGGAGGTTTCATTCCTCCCTCCAAAAATCTTTACTAAGCTGTTTTTTTATAAAATAACTTTATCCTCTGGAAGAAATGAATGGCGTAATGTATCATTTCTAGTAATAACGGAATTTTTTGGCACTGACAGAAAAGTAAATTTGAGCTAATTTTCTTGTTTGCCTGTTGTTGAAACAAACAGACCTACAACAAACCTTCTCCCAGAAACCAATCAACCACCCTCGAGGGACTGTGTGTGAGGAAACAGTGTATTAATTGTCACCCCTCAACAGGTTCCCATTTACTGCCAATGAGAGGAAGGCTGAAACCAAACCATTGTCATATCTCTCTGAGGGAGAGAATCAAACTAAAGATCTTTTAACTAGTAGCAGGAAATTAAAAGATGGGCTGCATTGTTTTCAGGAGTGAAGCAATTTCTCAGAGGCCTCACCAAAATTACTAATGCCAGAGAAGCTGCAGGTATATACATTTTACTAAACTGTAACTTGGCAAAAAGTGAAGAATCTTTCATCACCAACACAGCAGGACATCTAGTCTAATTTTGGGCAGATATAAAAGACATACTTTGCTAAAGTGGATCATGTACCTTCTTCCAAAACAAATGCAGCATGGCTGTGAAAACTCCTAACCAAGAAAACCCGAGGTCCATCATATATTTTTTATTATTTTTGGCATGATGAAACTGCTTGCAATAACTCCCAATTGGTGGTGATGTTTCTGACAGCTCTTCAAGACAAGTTTGTATTTAGTTGCTGGTGTGTATTTTCTTTGCACGTATTTATTCAAACTCAATGTGCCAATCTTCCAGTTGTCAAAATACCATGCAAGCAAAAGAAGTGGACTTTCCTCTCTCTACAAGGCAAACCAATAATTCACCTAAGCCCTTTAGTACTACAGTTAGAATGCTCTCTAACTTAGATGGGTAAAAATCAGAAATGGCAAACAATTAAATAACTCATTGACTTTTGATCCCTCAGTGAAGGAAGAGTAAAAGGCATAAAAGTGGGAATCCAGTTTTCCTTTTCTGCACTACAGCTTGATGTTAAAATCATGTATTTTCATACAAATGTACATATTTGCACCATAATGTACAGGTATTTGTATGGTGTTTAAGAATGCTTTGTACTTAATTACCTTAACTGGAATGCACTGCTTTAGCTTGGAAAACACACCAGCATGTCCACTGAGCTCTGACTAACAAAGAAACTAACATGACTGTTGAAAACATACTTGCTGAAATGATGTTTTTGCTATTATGCTGGGTAACGGCTGTCATGTCTTTTCTGGGCCTAAAAACTTAATTCTACAATTTGTTATTATATTTTCTGCACTGGCCAAATATACAGCTTACCAGAATACCAGAATGAGACTGTACATAAACTCATTTAATGTTTCTGACCACATAAAAATATATAAAAAGTTAACAACTTAGAAAACCTCATCCTAACAGGAATCACTGCCAAATTTACTATATCTGAATACACTGAATATAGTGATAAAAGACAAGGTACTGAAGAATGCCATAATTCAGGTGCTCAGAATCTGACTGAAATCAATCTGCTTCTGATCTCAGTCCTACTCATTCTTTTAGGTCTCATCCCCTTGGGGCAATAGCATTTTCCCAGGTGCCTGAGGAAGCACTCCTGTTTCCCAGTAATTGGCACACCCATGTGAACAGTAGTTCCAAATATAACACCATCATAATTTTAATCTGCTTTCATCTGAGTTTGCAAAGTAACCACAAGCTGTAGAGAGGAAATAACAGTGAATGTGTAGGAAACATAACTGACACTTTTTTTCTTACTCATGTTGGCCACATTTTCCTTGATATTCCTACAAATCAACACTGTTGTTTAGAAAATTGGCAATATGACAAAGATGGAGTCCTTCAGCTATAAACACACAAGGAGTCATTTTACTTGGAGCCATGATTTACTCAGATTAAAGACAGCAGAATAGACACTACTTTTTAGCCTGTACCCATTTAATAGAATTTATGTTGCTTGTAGGTTGCGATTTCAGTTTTAAATTATTGTAGTTTATGGATAATTTCCTGGGTAGAAAATCTCATCATGCAAAACTGCCTTGGCTAGAAAATTAGGTTTCACCTGATCAAGAGTGTTACACGAATTTCAAAGAATACTAAAGTCAGCTTAAAAGAATGAGACAAAACTGTTTGTCCACTACTTGTGCAAGATGCTTTGATTTAAACTGATTTCCACCAAAAAAGATTTGACAAACCAAACAAATGAAAATGCTTTTCTAGAATAAAGCAGCTGTTTATGATACTGTGTTACAGAAAAGATTATTCTTCTGCCTTGCTAACAGTTCATATTACAAAAAATCTTTTAAAATTCCACATAATTACACATGGCATACAAGGGGCACAGATGTAAGAGCTGTGAGCATCCTTCACCTTACTGAGGTGAAACACTGAGGAGTCTCTTCAAATAAGATGTACCTAACAGTATTATTAAAGTTGATCTCTGTGCCCAGGTACCTTTGACATGTATTTCTTGTCATGGGTTCCAAGTGCACTGCAACCACAGCAGCACTTTCTGAAGTCACAACACAATCATGGCCACTTTTGTTTTCTTCTCACTCAAAATATTTTAACAGAATTTTTTGTTATCCTATGTCCACTTTGTAGCTGTCATAAATGTAGAGTCACTATATGACATGCTCACATCCCATCAGCCCTTTCCAGCAAGCTCAAAGGATGAGTAATTAGCACAAGGTTTTTTGATGTTGCTGTGTTTAAAATAATGTGATTTATAATTAAGAATTCATTCACCAAAATAAAAACTCATTGTGGTCCAAGTTCCTTTGCTTTACTACAGTAGAATGTAAACTCCAAAACTTGTAAACAAAATACAGCGAACACTTTGCTCATGACATGTCATGAACAAATTACCAAAATGTGTTGTCTCCTCAGGTGTCAGTTTTCCTCTCTTGCAGTGACTGATGGTTCCCAGTGTTATTACAGAAACAGATTGATCTTTTTAATGAGCTAGTTTAATAGACTCCAAAATCTCACCGTGGCTGCTCATCCGTGTCAGACCATATGCACCAAGAAAACATTCAGTAAAACACAAAGCTCGGCTGTCAGATTGCTCTATAAAATCTCACATACAGTAGACTTGCATATGCAGATAAATAACCAGAATTGGAAAATGGATACACAAAAAAGGTTCTGAAATTATAAGCAGAAAAAATTAAGTGTATGTAGATTTTCTTTAACAAAAAATCATGAGGCAGCTGTGGTTACATGTAACACATGTTCCAATTCCTTTTCCTGATCCTCCACTGTACTCTATCTCTACTGGAATCAATGATATGCAGTTACTCATGCCCAAATGAAAAATATAAATGTGTATGTATATATATAACATATACATTACATGCAATGCATGCCTGTGTATGAATACATATCTACATATTTATATCATATACCTTGGGAAGTGAAAAAGATACTACAGTTTACTTCAGTAAGACACATCTTTCATCGAAATTATTCCAGCTGGATTTAGTTCTCTTGGAAAGATGTGGCCTTTTAGCAATTTTTTTTCATTTACTAGTCATGGAGTCACAGTAAACCTTTCCCTTAAAGTATGTCTGATATCTTCTTCTGAATTTTTATTAGTATATTTGAAAATTACTTATATTTCTAAACAAAAGGTATATATATTTCCAGATGTTTCCTCATGCTCCTCTGTAAACAATTAAAATAATTAATAGTGTAATGAGTATAAAGCCAGACAAGTATTTGGTTTCAATACTCACTCAGGCTAGGCATGTTCTGCCTCTGAGGACAGTTTTTTGTGGTTGATTTACTTACATTATCCAAATTAAAATGTATGCAGACTCCAATTCAGTAAATTTAAGAATCTTTCCAAAAACATCTTGTTCTTTTTACTAAATCTGTTGCACAAATGTTCTTGAGTGCACAAGACAACTCCAATGAACTTGGCTCAGCCAACACTACCACATATTTTTTTCTGTATAGCTTTTATTATAGTCATAAGCAATGGAGAAGTAGATGTGACTAACCAGTGATAGGGTTGCTTGACACTGAAAAAAAAACAACTTATTTTTTAAGCTCAAGGTACTATTCCAATGAGTGCACTGGGTGGTCTCTTTTCACGTGAGCATTTTTCCTTACAGTAAACAGTTGCAGAGTCAAAAAGAAAGAATGGGTTTTTCTGAAACACCACTTCCCCAGAACTAAGGAGCTGAATTTCAGGCTGCAACAGACAGAAGCTGCTGCACCTTAGAGTGTGCAGGACAGTAGGACACCCCACACTACACCCTCCCTGGACCCTGGAAATTCAAACACGGGCTCTTACCCACAACAATGGAAGTTAAACTGTCTACCCCTCACTCTAAAAGCTGCATTACTATTTGTGGAGGAACTGAAGGCTCCTCAAGTTGTTCACAGCCTAAGAGAGACTTCAGCTGTGAAGTCAAAGGCACCTGACTTTGCAAGCAGAGATTTAGGAATTTCAAGAGCACCTACATATTTTAACTAAAAGTAAATGCTGAGAAGAAAATATACCCAAATCTCTCTAGGTATGGGCCTCCGTTTTAATTAAAAGATGAAGGCTGACTTTAAAATACAATATTCTCCTGATCTGCTGGTCCCTTTTATATGCTTATGTCCTTTTTGTTATAAAACCTACACAAGGTGTCTTTCCATTATAAAGTTCTTGCCCTGGTCTCTACCTGGGTCACCCATCTTCTCCCTCACAAGCAAGACTGAAGATAACGCAGGTGAGACTGTCCTTATTAGAAAATTACCAAAATTCACCAGTGTAAAACATGGTCTCAGAGAGAGGGAGCATTATTCCAAATGCTAAGGATGGAAAGCAAAGGAAAGACTTTTGCATTTTTCCTTTGTGGCCTTATGGGAGATATGAGTAATACTGCTCTCTACTAATAGAAGAAAAAAAAAAGTGAGTTAGGGCTGTCAGGAAGGCACATCCCTCTTCTCCTCTGTATTCTGTCAAGCAGTATCTCACTGGTTCATTAAATAGTTTCATGTGTCTCTATCTCCTTGTAGGAAAAATGTTCTGTCTGCTACTGACACTGGAGTACAGCATGCTGGCATTTAAGTTATTCACAAGATATTAAGAGGCCTTTTTAACAGCTGTTTCGGTATACTATTCTGCAAAGACTGAGGATATACAAAACTGCCCCAAGGTACTAAATTTCAGCTTTGGAAAAGTTATTTCATTGCACACAGTAAGAGAACATACATAAAACGTCCAAAAATTAATCATCTTTCTGGGGTGCAGAAACATACTTGTGTTAATCCCAATAGCTGATTCAGTTTGGTCTAGTTGTCCGGAAAAACTGGTGAAAAGAGGGTAGCTACATATAAAAAGATCTCTTCTGCTTGTACCTTAATTTTCTCACTAGTCCATAGTGATTTTTCTGAAACACAATCTCAGGCAAACTAATTTCAAATACTTTCACATCTTTTTCTATATAATGGCTACGTGACTTTAAATTTTACTGTTCACTTCTGGCTATGAGAAGTCTTAAGTTTTACTGTGAGCTTTTGGACTGCATTTTCTCTTTATTTTTGTGCCATTCAAGCCTATTCCAACACAAAAATGTCACCTGTACAAATTTACGAGGCTTCTTGACTTTGCAAATCATCTTTTTCGTTTAAAGGATAGCTAGGACACTTGCATACCTCAGGCATACAGGTAGTGGTATTTGGCAAAACAGCATAATAAAAGTTTTCCACACTATAAAACCCATGGCAAACAAATCAAAGAAAAATACAACACCTGAGCTTCCCAAAGGTAAAATGTAAATGCCAGTTGAATTTCTAACATTAGCATAAGAACATAGTTAAAAGTAAATAACCAAGAGAGTAATTTCCTTGTAACACTAAACAAAGGACTTTATTCGAAAAAATAAAAACTGCTCCATACCCCTAAAGCTACTGTACTTCACACACATGCATTCACTTGTCCCATTTCTGCATGGACTCTCCTCAACTCAACAACAAAACAGATTTCAATGAACATTTCTCCTCTTTGCAAGAAATATTCTTATGCATGTTCTATGTATGGATATGGAAATATGGCACAGCAGAAGGAATCAAAGCCCTGAGTATGCTCTGGGGTTTGCCTTGTACTTCCCAATATAAATGCCTAGTGACTCTCCTCACATTACATGTTGAGTTCAACAAAACGTCAGATGCAAAGGACTTGTATATGGAGCTGGCATGATCTGCTGCCTGTCACCTCATGACAAAAATACTGTGTACAAAGTACTACAGGACTGGATGACCATTACTTCTGTGTGGATATGACCACAGTGTGCCCTGAGGTGACTGAATCAGTGTGTGCATGCATTATATACTCAGGAATATATACGTGTAGGTAGCTCTGTCTATTTATACATGTAAGTATATATATATATATATATATATATATAGACATGCATAAGCAGGGCCTGTTATAAAAGGGCATGGGTTTAAGCTAATAAGATAGTAGATTCAGACTAGGTATATGGAAGAAATTTTTAATATGGAAGGTGGTGAAACACTGGCACAGGTTGCCCGGAGAAATGGTGGATGTGCCTCTCTGGAAACATTCACGGCCAGCTTGGACATGAAGGCACCCAGGGAACACCATCTGAGTATTCTCCCACCCCACACCCCATCCCACCCCGTGCTGGTGGAGCTCAGCACCCTCGGGCCCACAGACACTTTGGGCAGAGTAGCAAAGGCAGGTGGTGCTCACCTGTCTGGAGTTCGCCTCTTCCCGTTTTCGTTCACATCGAGAAGCAGCTCTGAGGAGTCAACAGGTGAGGTGGTGCTGGCATCCAGAAGCAGCTGTTCGTGCTGGGCGAGGTACTGGGCTGGGTTCTGCTTGGCTAGCCTTGCACAGTGCAGCAGCTCCCGCTGCAGCAGGGGCAGATTGGCCTGAAAGAGTGTAGCACATGTTAAGAGGGCAGCTTGCAAGCAGTTTCAACAGAGATGAAGAAGAAAAATCAGTAATCAGAGGAAAGCCTGGTTTGAGTTGAAACTTTTGCCATCATTCCCAGCTAGGTTTGTGGTTAGCTGCCTGAAATCCAGCAACCTCCAAAAGTAGCTATAGGTGTACTAAATATGCATGGAAGGATGGAAGTTTACCAAAAATGTAAAAGAAAACAGTAAATGCTGTGAGAAAACCAAGTCTGAGTGCCACATCTTTAAAGAGGGAAAAAACACTGTCTTGTCTGACTTCTGCTTTCTTACTGTCTAACCTGATCTCCTACACAGCAGCTGTTTTCAACAAGTGACAATCCTTTGTTTCCCATTCAGATTGCAGTTAGCACTCAGAAATTGTCTGAAACCAGGGGATCTGCACCTCTATAAGCTGCCTCAGTCACCATCCTTTGAGGGCCTTGGGGAGGACAGGACTGAAAACAGGATTGCCCTCAGCTTTCCCATTACATTTGCAGTTGCACATTAAGACAAAGATTACAACAAAATTTCACGTTCCAGAGCTTCAGCTAATCACCCAGAGGGCTACAATCCTCCTCCTAGCCAGATGCAGCTTGAAGGATTTCTAGCTGTTCTTTCATGGCCCCATTGGGACTTGGGTCATGGCCTGGAGATTAAGGACTCAGACAAAGAGAACCTAAAATACTCGTTGATCCCTGGGCAGCACATTTTGCCCATCTACTGCAGTCATACTTAGTCACACTTTTTGCCAGAACAGATGGAACCGTATGTCCCTTCCCTCTGTAGAGATAGTTACACATTTTGGGAAACATCTTCCTTTCTTTGCAGCAAATGCCAATATCGATACTAAGAAAGGCCACTCATTTTTACCTAATTACTTTTTGTACCATAAAGTGATGTGCCTTGACCTCTCTTGTTCCATCACTACTGCACGATGACTTTTCACCTCAGAATTTTCAAGGATTGAATTAAATTTCATAATCTTTAGAAACTAAAGATGAGACAAAGAACTTCAGTAGATTCCTTTACTTTTGAAATAACTCTCACCTAAAAAAAAAAAAAAAACAACCAAACAAAAAAAAAAACCCTTATTTTTTAAGCAGGAAAATACTTCTGAAGTAAAAAAATTCTGAAAGCAATGTGCAAGGAGCCAAACAAAAACCAGATGTTCTGAAAAGTTTTGAGCCCAGGATCCTGGTAAATTACTATCTTAGCAATGTAACAATGGCAACTGCTCCAGCACCTGTTGCTGTACCATAAGAGCAGAACCACTGTATCACAAAAAATGCCAGAACAGTCAGCACATATGAAACTTTTAACAGTGGAGAAAAAACTAGAACTTGCTAACAGTTATTCATCTTAGGATGGAAAGACGGTTGTGGAATATGGAGATCTTTTCAGACCTACACAGAACAGAAATATTTTTTGAAAGAACCAAGTATGTATTTTCTTTCAGTTATCAGAGAGATTGACTGACTGACTGACTGACTGTGTCATGAGCAAGGTTTTTCACTTGTTTTAATTTTATTGTTTCTTTTAAAAGCTCACATAGAATATAAATCAAGACACCCAACTATCTGAACTGCCTTTCATGGCAGAAAATAGTTGGAAAAGTTCACATATATTTACAAATAAATATCTGGAAGAAACAGAAGAATTAGATCTAGCATTTGACTACTGGTACATACTTAAAAGATCTCAGCAGGCTGGTGAGGTAAAAATGTGAAGGCTGTACTTAGGAGATGAGTAATGAAGGAAGAAAGGACCTCTTTAATGCATGAATACTCCTAGAGACAACCAAATTTTGAACTGCTCAGTAAAAACTGTGATTTATTTTACTTGTTTACCTTCTCCTAAAGAAAGGTTCATTCTTGCCCTTTAACCATAAACACAAACATTTGCAGATAAATTTATATAAACAGACTGAACAGATTTTCTTTGCACAAAAAAAGCATGTACAGCTTTTAATACGTTTACAAAACACAGATATAGTCCGTTGCTTTATTTTTTAGAAGTTAGTATAGAAAACTATGATTGACATGCCTTATAATTTGGGCTGGTAATAGCACAAAGTAATATCTGGACAAATACTTAACTCGAAGTCAAGAAAATCAGTATTTAAAAATTTATAGTTCAGCTCAAGTATTTTCAATCTGCTCAAAATAGTCTTCTAAACAATCTTTATCAGACCATATATTAATAAATAATTAGTTTGTTGAGAGAAGATTAATCAGGACCTCTCTATAGGTAAGTGAATGCTTCTGGTCATCATGGCGCTGATACACAAGAACTAGTTTTTGGGAAGATAATGAGAACTAATTTTGAACACAGAATGAAACATCAATATTCTCTCTATTGTGAGCAGGGAGAGATGAGGCTCCTAAGGCAACTCAAGTGGACTTATAGAGACTCTGAAACCAACATGGCCTTGGACACAGATGATTGTGTAGAGGTTCTGCTCTGATAGCAAAGGCAGCTCTCTACACCTGCAGCAGCCCATTGCTGCTGATGCCTGTAGACAGACTTCTGTACCTCTGCACATGAGAGATACAAATCAGTTCTCAAGCAAAAGAACCCTGACTGCAAAGAAACATGACATTACTGGCTTACACTACCCTAAATTCTTACACTTCAGTGTCTGAAACATGCTCCACTCTTGTTTTGGATTGGGCCTTATATCCTTCAAGATTTAGGCAGTATCTTAGCCTACTCCATCAGCAACAGAAATATTTCAGTATTATAATTTAAACTGAAAAGGCTTCATTGGAACATAGTGTAAAATTAGGCTTTGATAATAATATTATTTATAACTGCAAGTGTAAATAAATTATTATAGCTGTATTAAAAATATTTAAAATAAGATAAATTTGTTCAGAGAGCCTGAGTAACTCAAAATTATCAAATCATATTTATACTGATGCTTAAAACAAATATGCACAGCACATCTACTGAAAAACAGTGTTGGCAATACTGAACATGTACACCATGTACCATTTAAATGCAATAGATTAAATGCTGCTTGATATTAATATAGAAAATATGCACAAAAAGGCCAGTGAAGGTTTCTGCAGTTGAATGATCTTATCTTCCTCTGAACCAGAATCAGTAGAAAGATAAGCAATTCAATGTCTATTTATTATCTGTAATAGATCAGCGCTCCCTGGCGTGAGGCACTGCACAAACACATGCTGAAGAGTAGCTTATTTCCCAGAATTTTTATTACAGAAACACAAATATTGGCTTCTGTCTACAACGTAGCGTTTGGTAGACCTAGCAATCTGTAGTGGATCTAGACCAGACAGGATATA